GAAAATATATACAATGGATACAGAGTCTCTTTATGAATATAAAATAAACGTGTGTTGACTTCACACATAGTAGATATGTTATGTTTTAAACTATTCACACTATAGTTGGTCACAGTATAAATATAATGATGTTGGAATGTGTACATATGTTATGCAATTTTTAGCTCGACTTTTTTTTGAAAAAAAAAGTAGAGGTATTGCTATAGTCTTGGCGCCGTAGCCTTTGCCGTCCGCAAACTTCTACCTGGATCATAACTTTTTTATTTCTTGGTGTATTGACTTCATACTTGGCCACAACAACCCTTGGGACAAGACCTCTCAGTAGACCACACTAACCTTGACCTTCATCCATAAATGACCTTGACCTTCAAGGTTAAAAGTCCAAATTTTGCTTGTTCATGCTGTTATTGGCTGTAACTTTGTTATTTTTAAAAGGATATCCCTTAAAAATTACCAGACAGACCTTGATCTTCATTCATAAATGACCTTGACTTTGAAGGTCAAATTATTGAAATTTTCATTTTTTGGCTGTTATTGGCTGTAACTTTGTTATTTTTGAATGGATTGTCTTCAAACTTGAACATAATAATCTTCAAGGATAACCCTTTAAAATAACCAGACAGACCTTGACCTTCACTCATTAATGGCCTTGACTTTGTAGTTCAAATTATTGAAATTTTCATTGTTTTGGCTGTAACTTTGCTATTATTGAAGGGATCAACTTCATATTATAACAGAACATACTTAAGGACAAGACCTTGTTGTTTATCGTGACTTCACCACGTGACTGACACCAGGTGACACCACCACGTGACTTCACCACGTGACACCACCATGTGACTCCACCACGTGATTCCACCACGTGACTCCACCACGTGTTTCGACCAAGTGACACCATCACGTGACTCCACAACATGTCACCACCACGTGACTTCACCGCATGTCTCCACCACGTGTTTTCACCACGTGACTTCACCACGTGACTCCACCATGTGAAATCACCACGTGACACCACCACAAGACACTCCACCACGTGAATTCACCACATGTGTGCACCACGTGCCACACCACGTGACACCACCACGTGACTTCACCAGGTGTTTCCACCACGTGACTTCACCACTTGACACCACCACGTGACACAACCACGTGTCACCAAGTGACTCCACCACGTGTATCTACTTATAGAATTTTCTATTTTTAGAATTGTGTGTTTCTATTTATAGAATTTTCTATTTATAGAATTGCGTGTTTATATATATATATATCAATTAGTATATTTATATATACAAAATATATAGACAAAACTAATGTGACAAGACAGACCGATTAATTTTATAAAAAGGAAACGTAAAGATTTGATCAAACATTTCTTTGTTTGCTTTTAGAGGAAGTAAAAAGTCGAGCGTTGCCCCCGCCCGGCGGTGGCTCTTGTTCCAAAAGAGATTCAATGGCTTGGAGAAAGTCTTAATGTTATGACATGTTTTTGATGTGAAAATATCTTTCAGCTCTAGAATTCGGACATCATATTGCATCATTGTAAGGTCAGTTGTAGGTCATTAACCAAGAAAAAAATTAGGCCTAAAGAAACATTACATTTCCTTACTAACAAAGTTGAGTTTGTATGCTCAATGTTTTTATTGAATTTTGTTAAAAAATTAAATTTTTTCCTTTTGTTTGTTGAATTGGATTTAAACTTGGAGAAAGCACATTTCAATAAAATTTGGGACATACTGTTGAACCTGAGTTTCATGTGCATAATTGAATTTTGGCATCAGTTATGCTGTTTTTGATATTTTTGAAACCATTGCACATACTTTCTTGTTTTTGATGTATAGAGACTTGAAATTTGGAATGATGTACAGAGACTTGAAATTTGGACCAGGAATGTAATTTCTGATAGGAGTTGAATTAAGATATCAACTGACTACTTTTGATATTATTATTTGATATTGTTTGACCTAGTTTGTCGTTTTTAGCTCACCTGTCACAAAGTGACAGGGTGAGCTTGATCACTTTTCGTCCGGTGTCCGCCGTCCCCCGCGCCCGAAAAACTTCTATTTTAAATAATTCTCATAAACTATAAGCAATTTCACCCCAAAAATTAAAGAATGTTTTTTTGGTACTTTGAAAATTTTAAAAAAATTTAATTCAGGGAAAACTTGGTTGAAATGGAACCCAAAAAGAAAAAATTTAAATATTTTTTTTTTTCTTAAAAAACCCAAAAGCTAAAATTTAGATTTTTTGATGAAAATCTTAGTGAGTTTACCAAAGTTTGTTAAAATAAAGCCTGGGCCCAAAACGGGCCCCCCTTCGGGGTTTTTATTTCCCGATATGCATACGAAAAAACTTAAAAAATTTTTTTAAAAAGCCCAAAAGTTAGAAAGTTTTAGCATAAAAACTGTTCTCTGGGTTACCAATTTGTTCAAATAAGAGCCCTGGGGTCAAAATTGGCCCCGCCCCGGGGTCATTGATTTTCCTTATATGTGTATAACAAAAACTTGAAAAATCTTCTTTGATAAAAACTAAATAGCTAGAGTTTCGATACTAAGCATGAAATATTTTCTAGTGGGTGTCTACAAAGTGTGTTCAAGTAAAAGCCCTGGGGTCAAAATTGGCCCCGCCCCGGGGGTCATTCATTTTCCTTATATGTGTGTAGCAAAAACTTAAAATCTTCTTTGAAAAAACTCAAAAAGCTAGAGTTTAGATATTAAGCATGAAGCATCTTCTAGTGAGTGTCAACAAAGTTTGTTCAAATAAAAGGCCTGGGGTCAAAATTGGCCCCGCCCCGGGGGACATTGATTTTCCTTATATGTGTATAGCAAAAACTTAAAAATCTTCTTTGAAAGAACCCGAATAGCTAGAGTTTAGATATTAAGCATGAAACACTTTCTAGTAAGTGTCTTCAAAGATTGTTCAAATTAAAGCCCTGGGGTCAAAACTGGCCCTGCCCCAGAAGTGTCATTGTTTTTGTTTACTATATGTGTATAGTAAAAACTTAAAAGATATTCTTTTAAAAAACCCAACGAGCTAGACCTTAGATGTTTAGCATGAAACATCTTCTAATGGGTGTCTACCAAGTTTGTTCAAATAAAAGCCCTGGGGTTTAAACTGGCCCCGCTCGGTGGGCCTATATACAGGTGAGCGACTTCAGGGCCATCATGGCCCTCTTGTTTGATGTACCTGCTGAAAATTTGGACAAGGGATTTAATTTCTGATCCTGAATTGAATTTTTATATGAATTGGCCTACTTTTGATATATTTGATATCCGATCGCGGCTTTACCTACTTTTTTTTGTCTTTTATGTTGACTTGAAATTTGGACCAGGGTTGTAATTTGTGTATTTTTTGATGTTGAATTCAATTTTGCTACCAACTTACCTACTTTATGTATTATTGACACCATTTGACCTACTTTCTTGTATTTTGACATTCAGATTTTAAATTTGGACCAGGTTTGTAATTCTGATGCCGAAATGAATTTTGATATCAACTGACCTTTTTTTGATATTTTTGATATTATTTGACCTTCATTCTTCTGTTTTTTGACATACAGGCTTGAAATTTGGACTAGGGGTGTAATATTTGATGCTGAATTGATTTTTGATATCAACTGGCCTACTTTTCATATTTTTTACAATGCTTGACCTCTTGTCTTTTTTTTGAGGTACAATTATGTTACCATACAGAATGTTTAAAAAAAATGTTGTCCCAAACTGTAAACTTCAAACATCTACACCTTACATGTTTGCATGTGACATTTTGTGTTTTCATTCATAAAAGTTATAAAAAAAATTGTCCAGTCAAAATTAATCCTGCTCTAGTGGTCATTTATTCTGCATTTATTCACTATTCATAAAACTCTTGCAACTACAATTTTTACAAAAGCCTTTTCCAAAAAAATTAGGGCAAATATTTTAATTTTTATAGTGATAAGAAATGATGGGTTTGATAGAGATCTTTGGCCAATTAGTGGTTTTTATGTTTATTATGAAAGGGAAAAAACTAAAAAAATATGTTGTAAAATATATTACTAAGGGGCAAATTTAAAATTTTATTAACTTGCCCAAGAGTGGACTTGCTTTACAAGTCTTTTGAAAATTAAATTTTAAAACTTTAAAAGGGTTGTTCTGGTGGCGACACAGGGGGTAAAGGCCCCCCTTGTTTTTATTTCTTACATGATTTGTTTTTTTGGGTATCGGAAAAAAAGGGGTAGCATTAGGGGGAAAAAAAAAATGTAATGCTTTTTATATTTTTTTGCCCCCTTTAGTGGGGGGGCATTTTAAAATTTACCCCTTTTCCCTTTCCCTTTTTTTGTGTCGCACGAAACTCAAAAAGTATTTGACCTAGAGTCATGAAACTTTACAAGAATGTTGATCAGCATGTGTTGTTGTGCACCTGGGTATTTTCGTCTGGATATTTTTAGTATTTTTAGAGTAATTGCCCTTGACTTAGTAAAATTTTGCAATTCTCAACTGGTGTCGCATGTAACTCAAAAAGTATTTGACATAGAGTCATGAAACTTTACAGGAATATTGATCAGCATGTGTTAGTTGTTCACTGGGTAATTTCGTCTGGATTTATGTAAATTTTGAGTTATTGCCCTTGACTTAGAAAATTTTTGCAATTTTCAACTTGTGATGTCGCATGTAACTCAAAAAGGATTTGACATATAGTCATTAAACCTTACGGGAAGGTTGCTCAGCATATTTAGTTTTGCAACTGGGGTTTCGCTTGTGGATTTATCCAGTATTTGTAGTGTTATTTCCCCTGACTTAGTAAAAACCGTTTCATTATGTTGTTATTTGTTCCTTAAGTGCTTGAGTTAGAATCAAGCGTCTTTACAGGAATAATGATCAACATCACTGAATTACAGGAATAATGATTCACATCGCTGTTAATCTATGCACCTGGGACTTTGCAAGTGGATTTTTTTCAGTTTTGTAAGAGTTATGACCCTTGACTTGCAGTAGTATAAATTTGCAATTTTCTTTTTCCAGAAAATTGTGATAGAGAAAAGCGTTTGCCCTGATGGATTTTACCAGCCAGTGAGTGATGACTGCTACAAAGCATGCACTGACTTTAAACACGAAGATGCAGATTTAGTTGCACATTGGGGAATAAGAGTGTTGTATCCAGGAAAGAATACCGATCCGGGGCGTGGATACTGTGATGTGGATAATGAATTTGTAAGCTCGAAAACCTAAAAAATGTACACAAGTTTAGGCCATAATGAGGTCTCTGTCTGTGAAAAATTGGTTGAATTTGAGACTTACTGCCCTGCCGATAAACGCCTTTTACTAGGTAAGAATAGTATGCTTAGAAGAGCTCCTCCAAATTTATGTTATAAATCAATGCTTAGTCATGTTATGTACTTTAAATACTGAAGTCTTGAATTCTTCTGTTAATAATGTATTGGTTATACCAGTGTAGTCAGCTAGTCAACACATCTATACATATTGGTCAGGCTATATTACTGACTTCATTTTATATTGCTGTATATCCACCACTAATTGACTGGGGAAGAGGATATTGTTTTGACGTGGTCTATCTGTCCATCTGTATATCTCAGCAACTAATCATGTCCTTAAGTTTTACAATGTATATTCCTGAGATCAGAGACAAAAAGAAAATTAGAAATTTAAGGCAGATCTATGCAGAAAAGTTTTTTCAAGGTCTTATTTTCTATATTCAAGAAAGTTTACCATAACTTTGTGATATAATTCAACAAATTTGAGAGTGTGGCTTTGTACTTTATGGTATTAAAACCCGATAGGTTCCAGATAGTATCTGCACACAATATTTTAGGTGGCAGCAAGCAAACTTTTAACTTCAAGTCTTCACTTGCTTGAAAAAAAAATGACATCCCAGTCTAGAGGCAACTGTTTTTAATAAGCTAGATAGATGCATGTTTATTTCTGAAGAAAACTCCCTTAGGCTTTGTAGTTGTGGACATATATACTTGACATATATACATAGGATGGAGCTCATCAGTTTACTCCTATTGAAGCAACATTTTACATAGAATATATTTTCCCATAAGGCCATAACTTTAAAAAAAATAGTTTTCATAGGTTGTTTTTAAAATAAATGTCCCCTGTCAGAAATACTGCAAAAATCAGCTTGTATTTGAAATTTGATCCTCCTATGTCTTATTATAGAATATATATTATAGAAAGTTTCTGGCCTTTAAAGCACAATACTTACTGCTTGAATATTCAGACTGTAGCTTCATTCTTGCTGGGGTTTAGTTTCCTCTGTTCCGCTTTACATAGTTTACATGCAATCATTTTTATTGACATCTGTTATTGTAGAAGTTCATATAAAATACATTTTCGAAGGTCTGTAGCCTACAAATGTTCTTTGCAAGTGTATACATGTAGTAAGTGTATAGTAAGTAAAACGAACAATTTCTGGATAGTAAGTCGCACGAAAACAAAATAGTAAGTTTCACGCACAGTTTCCATTAGCATACATATACATTAAAAGAAAGAAAAAGTTCATATGTAAAGAGATAGAAAATACTTATTTCAATTATTCAAGATCAAATATTTCACTTTTTGTCTAAGGACGAATGCTTTATTGGTTGTTTTTATCATATATCAAATGAACTTTTGATGGGATTTGATATTACACGACTCAGTGTTATTATTCTGTTGCGATAGTACTCAGCTGTTCTTTGACCTCTGCAGTGTCAGGTGTGTCTTGGCCCTCATTGAAATGTAATAAGAAAAAAGATGAACAAATATAATTGCTTGTCATTTGGTATGGTGATGTTTATTAACTTAATAACATGGTGGTATTTACATTTAGTCACTAGGTTACTTAATTTTACATTTAGTCACTAGGTTACTTAATTTAAGAAAATATATTGAAGAATTCGCAAGAACAAAATAACTTCTTACAAAAAAAACAAACAAACAAAAAACAATGATACAGTGATTCAAGTTTTGGGCACATTTTGCCCCTGAAATCCATATTGTTTTAATTCTTTAGAAATGTCAAACATGTGTTTAATAATGTTTAAATAATGGATAAAATGCATGATAGTATTTTATTACAACTGAAAAAGGTAACGCTGAACATTAAGTGATGTGTCGTAAAGCAAAATGTAGCAAAATATAAAAGTAGTATTTTGACTTCCATACAAAATACTTATTTACCAAAGGTATACCAATTGCCAACAGAACCAAATACGCAAAAGATACTTTGAGTATCTAGCAAATGAGTATATTTTCGGAAACTGTAACAAGATACCAAAAATAAACAGTTTTTTTAAAATAAAAATGATAGCATTTCAGAGGCATAATGGACCTTTAAAGAAAAACGAATATTTGAAATCAAACGGTCAAAGATATTTATACTTTTTAAAGTAAGGCTAGCGGAGTTAAAAAAAAGTATTTACATAAAACAATCATAGAAGCTGGGTTTCAAATCACACCGCCAATGTCAGGACACCTGAGTTTAAAGCACCGACGTTTTGTTAGCTAGTTTGATGAAAGAATTCAAGGACTCTGATGGGACTAGAATCCATAGTAGTGCATGTGAATAAAAATCAGGGACTTTAACCATTCGGCCATGGACGCCCTGATTATTAGCTCACCAGAGCCGAAGGCTCAGGGTGAGCTATTAATATCAAAGGGGGATGCTCCGGCGTCCATCGTCCGTCGTCATGCGTCAACAATCGTCTTCTTCTCTGAAATTGACTTCAAATTTAGGGACGTCCGTGGCCGAGGGGTCAAGGTCGTTGACTTCAAACCACTTGCCCCTTACCGCTGTTGGTTCGAATCCCGACAGGGACTTTGGATTCTTTCATATAAGGAAGCTATCCAGCTAGGTTACGGAACGTCGGTGGTTCTACTCAGGTTCTACTCAGGTGCCCGTCCTTGCCTGAAATAATGCACGGAAGGGCACCTGAGGTCTTCCTCCACCAGTAAAGCCGGAACGTCGCGATATGACCTATACTGTGTCGATGTGACGTAAAACCCAAAACAAACAAACAAACTTCAAATTTGGTCTGTAGCATCCTTGTGACAGTCACACTTGAATTTGCTCATGCCATTCCAATTGGCCATTTTTGGGGGTCAGCTGAGCTAAAAATAGAAAAACCTTTAAACATCTTCTTCTACAGAAGTAATGGATGGATGATCACCAAACTTTGTCTGTAGCATTCTTTTATCAAGTTTGCTCATATTGATTAGATAAGCCCCTTTTAGGGGCCGCTAAAATTAAAATAGAAAACGTTTAAACATCTTCTCCTACAGATCTAATAAATATTTAGATGATGACCAAACTTTGTCTGTAGCATTCTTGGGTAATCTTTTATCAAGTTTGCTAATATTATTTTGATTGGCCCCTTTTAGGGATATCTAGGACTAAAAATAGATAAACCTTTAAACATCTTCTCCTACAGAACTAATTAGTGGATGATCACCAAACTTTGTCTGTAGCATCTCGGGTAGTGTTTTATCAAGTTTGCTCATATTAATTTGATTAGCCCCTTTTAGGGGCCGTTAAAGCTAAAAATAGAAATACTGTTTAATGTCTATTTATAGAGAACTAATTGATGGATGATCACCAAACTTTGTCTGTAGCATTATTGGGTAGTCTTTTATCAAGTTTGCTCATATTATTTTGATTGTCCCCTTTAAGGGGTCTCTAGGTCTAAAATTAGAAATACGTTTAAACGTCTTCTCCTACAGAACTTATTGATGGATGATCACCAAACTTTGTCTGTAGCAATCTCGGTTAGTGTTTTATCAAGTTTGCTCATTTTGATTGGCCCCTTTTAGGGGCCGCAAAAGCTAAAAATAGAAATACCTTTAAATATCTATTTCTTTAGAACTAATTGATGGAAGATCACCAAACTTTGTCTGTAGCATTCTTGGGTAGGGTAGTCTTTTATCAAGTTTGCTCATATAAATTTGATTAGCCCCTTTTAGGGGTCTCTATAGCTAAAAATAGAAATACCGTTAAATGTCTATTTCTAGGGAACTAATTGATGGATGATCACCATACTTTGTCTGTAACATTCTTGGATAGTCTTTTATAAAGTTTGCTCATATGAATTTGATTGGCTTAAGCTAAATTTAGAAATACCTTTAAATGTCTATTTCTACAGAACTAATGGATGGATGATCACCAAACTTTGTCTGAAGCATTGTTTGGCAGTCTTTTATCAAGTTTGCTCATATTATTTTGATTGGCCCCTTGTAGGGGCTGCTAAAGATAAAAATAGAAAAAAACCTTCGAACATCATTTCCTACTGAAATAATTGATAGATGATCATCAAACTTTTTAGCATTCTTAGGTAGTCTTTTATCAAGTTGGCTCATATTAATATGATTAGCCCCGTTTAAGCTAAAGCTTAAATAACCTAGGTCATGGCATTTCTTCAAATTATTGTTTAAACATATTCTATGCTCAAATTTAATATTATAATATATTGACATTCCAACACTGAAAATCAGTTGATTCTGGTGAGCGACTCAGGGCCATCATTGCCCTCTTGTATTTACTCTATTACAAACAAAAAGTAAGAGTTTACGACGCAACACATTTGCACATGAAAATAAGTGTATCGTAATACATAACGTTTTAACAAAACTTCTTGGGTTAATTTATAAAATCTGCCAGTGTATAAAAGAATAAATTTAATGAAAACTTTGTATACCAGTTCTATGATGGCATTAAATATCAATGTGATATGGCGAATGTCTTCTTCTTTGCGTTTTGGGTCCAAATTGCAGATACTGAAAAGTAAATGATGGTGTTGTTCTACTTCCTTCTTTATATATCTTGTTCTACAGATGATGGATAAGTCTATGTGAAAAAGGGCCATTTGTAACGTACATTGTTGAGTATCAATGTCAATGTCTCTTTTATTTTTTTTAAGTTAAGTAATTAATCTTTTCGGAAATTATACGAATATGAATACATGTATTTATGAATAATATGAATTATTATTAAAATACTTTCTCGATGTTTGTTTCTCTGTCACCGTAGACGGAACACTTTTGCAAATTGGTAACCAAAAGAATTATAAAATAGTATCGTCACATTTTAGTAAGCTATTGGAAACTGTGCGTGAAACTTACTATTTTGTTTTCGCGCAACTTACTATCCAGAAACTGTTCGTTTTACTTACTAAACACTATATAAAAATCATATATAATATACATATATATATATATATATATATATATATATATATATATATATATATATATATATATATATATATATATATATATATATATATATATATATATATATTGTTGTCTTTTACCAAACAAGAGCCACCG